GGGAGGGAGAGAAGGAGAGGAAATGAGAATAGAAGATCAGAAAGTTAACTAAAATAAGAATAATGCTCAGGAGAAAAGGATACATACATTAAGACGTGGAGAAACTACTAAAGTCTAAAAGCAAAAGAGGGGGCTGTGGTTGTAGCTCAGTGGTACAGCGCTTGCCTTGCAAGTGTAAGACCCTGGCTTTGGTCCCCAGCACCATATAAAAATAAACAAATAAAAATAAATATATTGTATCCATCTGCAACAAAAAAAAAGAAAAAATAAAGAAAAGCAAAAGAGGAACAGGGAAAAAATTATATATTAATTACAGATAGAACACTTTATCATAGAGAAAAAAATAAAGACATCTCCTTATTTGAAGAACATTTTGAACAGTTTCTCCTACTATCTCACTGAGCAGATGGTCTACTCATGCAAGAGCTTAATCCCCTCTGAATTTCCTTCACCCACCTGAGTTCAGGTCTTTTAGTGCTTCTCTCTCAACAATCCAGGTTTCATTATCTTGTTCCCAAAAGAAAAAAAAAGATCACAGTTAGTTTAGGAAGAGTCAGTCCTGTTAACAAAACAAAAAAGAAATAGGACTTAATTATGCCACAGATGTCCAAAATTGAGACCCAAATCCTTAGTAAAAAAAACAAGAAAAAAACTCAAAGAAATGGGCCAAGATTATTTAAAAGATGGGGAAGATGAAACTTCAGCAAATGGAAAGGAGCTGCTCATTTCCAACTCTTCAAAATTCAAGCTTCTCTGCTCAGAACCAGAAATGGAAAATCAGTCAGGAAATCAGCATATTTATAGCCAAGGACAGAAACATTCGAGGTAGCAGATTCTTAGTTACTGGGGACAAATATTCTTACCCAACAAGATCAAGTTGCTGTAATTCTCCAATGTCACATCTCTGTACAAGTTCCTCTGTTTCAGGTTCAGATATTCCTACTCCTCTTGAGAGAAGTCTACAGCCATATTCCTGAATGTCACCACTCCCTGAAAGAACAAAGCCATATACTACTTATGAAGAGCATCATATATATCTATTTTACTAAACCCCAAATCTGATGAGGGGTGACACAACAGTTCCTTAAAGAAAGCACTCCTGGGGCTGGGGTTGTGGTTCAAGTGGTAGAGCACTTGCCTAGCACGTGAGAGGCACTGGGTTCAATCCTCAGCACCACATAAAAATAAAATAAAAATATTGTATCCACCTAAAACTAAAAATAAATATTTTTTTTAAAAAGTACTTCCATTATAAGACTGAGCACATAGGAGATGCTGATTGATTTACTAAATGGACATGTGAATATTGGTGTAATAGGACAGCAGTATATACGGAGGCTCTGAACCACAACTCTCCTGTGGGACTCATGCTGGAAGGGAGTAGCTTGGTCCAGGCTCCTGTATGGGACTTAGAAGAACATTTCAGGACAAGAAAACCTAATATTTATGGCCTGGGATAAAAATGACTATAATCTTCAAGGAGAGAGAAAAACTACAATAACGTCTGCCATGACTTACAATTACAACCACTATTCAGTTCCACAATTCTTTCTTCTATCATTAGCTGTACTCTCCCTTTTCTTGGAGACAGGCTGAATTCAGAGAAGATAAAGCTAAGGAAGGAAAAAGGTGTAATGAGAAATTATATTGGCTAATAGCACTTCGACTCATGTTAAATATGATCATTATCAATACGAAGGAAGTATCTTAAAAATCATTAAGCTATGTCTATACTGTGTAGTTTTTTGAATCTACATTATACTTTGCAATAATAAAGTTTTTAAAAAGAACTATTTTTTTCTTCTCTTTCTAGTCCCACCCTCCTTACACACCCAAGCTTGCCACCAACATAAACACTGGGGATTGTAAGGGAATGTAGAACATAGTGGATGTCTCCCATATCACACACCATAGGTTACAACTGCCACAGGCTTCAGTGCCCCTTTTTCCTCCTGATTGCTCTAGAAATCCTGAGGTTCCTACATGCACAAGAGAAATTCAAGTTAGGATCTAAACAAATTGCACATGCAGTCTTTGGCTGACATATACTTTGTTTCTTTTTACCTAACATAGTTACCTCTCCTTCATCTGTTTATACTGTGCAGTTTTATTTATTGAATCTGATATTGAATATAAACCTTGTATCTATTGTTCAAAAATCCCCCATATTCTAGATTTTTCTCACAGACTCCTACCCTGATATCTATTGTTCAAAAATTCCCCATATTCTAGATTTTTCTCACTGCCTCCCACACAGGTGATGTTTAATGTATTTCTGTATGGCCCTATACAGACTGTTGAGGTGGGATTAGAATCTAGCTTTAAAAAAAAAAATATATATATATATATATATGTATATACATATATATACACACACACACACACACACACACACACACACAAATACATTTATTTTTAGTTATAGGTGGACACAATATCTTTATTTTATTTTTATATGGTACTGAGGATTGAACCCAGTGCCTAGGCAAGCGCTCTGCCACTGAGCCACAGCTACAGCCCTAGAAACTAGCTTTTCATAGCTGTAAAACCAAACCTATTTCTGCTATAACTTGTTGCCCTCAGACTCTGATTTATACCTTCTTAGAAAAAAATGCATGTTTACTTGCTGGTTTTTTTTCCCCACATTTTACTAGCAATTTAGAAATGAGAGAAAGGGGGAGGAAAGAGAAATCAATTTTGTAAATCAAATTATGTGGTGCAGAGGTTTCAACATACTTAAAGGAGGCAAGAGGATGCTGGTAAAGAGCCAGGGATTTATTATAACCAGATAAAAGGAAGAAGAATGAGTTAGGAATGAGTAATGAGATTGGAGCAGAGGTGACCATCAGAGTGTGATACTGAAGAATAATCTCCTGAGGAGTGTGAATGTTATTTCACAATGAAAAAAACTAATCAAGGGATATTAAGAATATTACAGAAAAATACATTAGAGAAAGGCTGGGGATGCAGCTCAGTGGTAGAGTGCATGTGTGGGGCCCTGGGTTCCATTTTCAGAACTGCAAAAAATAAGAGAGGAAATGAGAAACATTATTTGGGAGGCCAGAGAATGTAATGCTTATGTTTACATTGATTATATTATGATTCCATTAGTTGATGGAGGTTTTAAAAACTTTGTGCAAGGGGCTGGGGATGTGGCTCAAGCGGTAGTGCGCTTGCCTGGTGTGTATGCGGCCCAAGTTCGATCCTCAGCACCACATACAAACAAAGATGTTATGTCTGCCGAAAACTAAAAAATAAATAAATAAATATTTTAAAAAAAACAACTTTGTGCGATAAGGGAATGTGATCTAGGGTTTGGGTAGACAGAATTTTTTTTGCAGGGGGCGCGTTATTGGGCATTGAACCCAGGGACACTTTACCACTAAACAACATACCCTGTCCTTTGTCCTTTCTTTTTTCTTTTTCTTTCTTTTTTTTTTTTTTTTAAGACAGGGCCTAAGTTGCCCGGGCTGGCTTTGAACTTGCAACCTGCTGTTTCAGCTTCTCAAGTCACTGAGATTAGAGGAATATACACCCTACTTGGCACAGAATAGAATTTTGATGGGAAGAAGTACTAGGGCAGGGTTTTATATTTCTATGCAATCATTCTGAGAAAATATAATCAGCCATCCTCAGGATGGTTGCACAGAAATACAAAGAACACAAAACTGTTTACAAGAATGCTGCATAGGGAAAATTTATAAAACTCAACATGAAATAACACAACCTTCAAATAGTTAATTAGTCAGATAAATTATGATATAATAAAGTGACAGAATTCACTACAATGATTAATAATAAAGATGATGCCCACTCATAAAGAGGAAAAGATCTGTACTCTGAATTATTGAGAGGAGCAAAAAGTAACAATAGTAGATATTATCTTACTTAATTAAAGTATATATTAATATAAGAAAAAATGGAAATACATCTTTCAAACCAATGATTACTATAGATTAAATTTTATTTATTTATTTATTATTCTAATTTGTTATATATGAGAGCAGAATGCATTACAATTCATATTACATATATAGAGCACATTTTTCATATCTCTGATTGTACACAAAGTATATTCACACCATTCGTGTCTTCTTCATACATGTACTTAGGTAGTGATGTCTATCTCATTCCACCATCATTTTCTTTAACCCCCTTACCCCTCCCTCCCTCTCCCTCCCCTTTTCCCTATTTAGAGTTAGTCTATTCCTCCCATGCTCCCCCTCCCAACCTCACTATGAATCAGCCCCTTTATATCAGAGAAAACATTCGGCATTTGGTTTTTTGGGATTGGCTAACTTCACTTAGCATTATCTTCTCTAACTCCATCCATTTACCTGCAAATGCCATGATTTTATTCTCTTTTATTGCTGAGTAATATTCCATTGTGTATATATACCACATTTTCTTTATCCATTTCTACTGAAGGGCATCTAGGTTAGTTCCACAGTTTAGCTATTGTGAATTGTTCTGCACTAAACATTGATGTGGCTGTGTCCCTGTAGTATGCTGTTTTTAAGTCCTTTTGGTGTAGACTGAAGAGTGGGATAGCTGGGTCAAAAGGTAGTTCCATTCCATTTGTTGATTGATTGTATATCACCTTCTGAGAAGTGTCTGTTCAGAGGAACTATAAATCCAAATGTTTGTTGATACAAGCGTCCGTTATAATTCCCTGGCAATCCCTGCCTAAACACTGTCACATTCCCACCCCTAATCTTCAAAGGGGATGGACCGTGACAGGCATCTGTCTTGGCATATAGGAGTCTCTGGAGGCACAGCGTTTAGAGTCTCAATGGCAATCAAAGACATTTCATAACAGTATACACAATGCCACAGTGACATGGTCACAATCACACCTCCACGGGAATGAACATTAGAGACACACGGTCACAGAGTAGGATCACAGGGAGCACACATAGTCACAGAAGGACAGTCACGGGCTAAGGAAAATATCTAGGCTCACAGAACCACGCAACGTCACAATCACAGGAACACCGCGGCCGTCAAAGTCCTTAGTGTCCCATACTCAGGCACACAACGCCGCAAGCCCGTTACACAGTCATTCACTGACACCCACGACACACACGATCACAATCACAACCTCTACTCAGATCGTCCCTACCACAAAGGCCTGACGCTGCACACCCACCCGGCTCCCGCTCGGGCTCCAACCTCCTCGTCTCAAATCCCTCCTTGGATGGCTCCCAACCGTTCTAGAAGAAACGATTCCATCAAAGTTCTCAACAGCTCTCTGGCTGAAATTGAAGTTCGGCCACCGCGGGAAAAGAAGGCCGAGTTCTCGCGTAAAGTGGAGTCCAGCCACAGGGACTTCTGGGAAATGTAGTCCAGAGTTAGGTGGCGCGAACAAGAGGGCACCGAGACTTCAGGTTTTCTGGCGGGCACTTCAAGGCTGAATTTTTCTACACCATGAACCAAAAACAGGACTTGAAGTTCATGCGAAAACCGCATATGTGAAATCTCAGGGTCTTCTAAGGCCCAGAATTTGAAGGAAGGAAGGTTGGATCGTGCTGAAGCTGAGCCAGGGAATTTAGTTCTTTTCAGAGAGGCTGAGTTTGACTTGGGCAGAAGGGGGTCGCCAATTTCACAGTGGCCTGAGATCTGCGCTTGGATAAGTAGGTTCTGTAAATTAGATTTCTCAGACCTGGATCGCGCCAGGCGTACCGAATCAGAAGTTGAGCAGCCTCAGATGGATGTGGAATGGCCAATGGTGGTTAATCTGTGGGGATAGGAAAAAGGATAGGGCAGAGGAGCGCCTGCTGGTGTGAGGCCCTAAGATGTGAATTACAGGTTCTTCAAGGTTGCCAAAGGAAGCAGAAACAGATCGCTCTGTATATGTCAGTGATTATCTGAATGTTCTTCAACTCGGTGCCTAGGTTTGGCGTGAGACGAAAACCTGAATCTTTAAGATGATGGTTTCGATTTTCCTTCATTTGTAGTGAAAGCAGCTCACCAGTGATGACATCTAATACATATTTTAAGCCATGGTTTTTATATGAAAACAGACATTCATGATGTGATTAAATAAATACCCAATCCATAATTTTTTCTTTTAAGAAGGATTACTAAAAGGATTTTTTTTTTTTTTGGTACCAGGGTTGAACCCAAACGTGTTTTACCACTGAACCACATCCCCAGCATATTTTTTATTTGAGACATGGCCTACCTAAGTTGCTTGGGGACCCCCCCCCAAATTACTGAGGCTGGTTTTGAATTTAGCAATCCTCCTGTCTCAGCCTGACAAGGAGCTGGGATTATAAGCACGTGCGCCACCAGGAGCAGCACAAAGGAATTTTTTATAACCCTGTGCTTGCCTTTATCCAGATGCACCCCTCCCCACTCCTATCTATTCATTGGTTGGGAGTGCCACAGGGAGGGTACTGGTGATTGGGAGAATCACTGAACTAATAACCTCACAGTTGAGTTCAAATGTCATCTGATTTAGGAAGCCCCCAGAATTAGAGAGTTGATCTCCTTGGGTTCCCCTGGTTTTAAAAATCTGGATCAGATAGATCAATTTTTAAAAAGAGACCAAACAATCAATCTTGGGAGCAGTAGTTTACTGACTGAGACATTAGAGAAATGGTTTCAATGATGAATTCTAGCAATTTAAGTAAGAAATTATTCCAACTTGGGTAGTGGCACATGCTTTTAATCCCAGTAACTCTGGAGGCTGGGGCAAGATGATCACAAATTCAAGGCCAGCCTCAGCAGTTTAGTAACACCCTGTCTCAAAAAAAAAAAAAAAACAAAGTAGAGGGGCAGGGCTGGGGATATGGTAGAGTGGTTAAGCTCTCTTGTGTTCAATCCCCAGTAGCCCCCACCCCTCCCAAAAGAAAAAAGAAAAGAAAAAGAAGGAATTCCAGCTATTAGCTATTGCAAACTCAGACTACAATAGTAGGGAACATTTCCTAACTCATTTAATGAGACCAGCTTTATTCTGATACTAAAATTAATGAATTATAAAACAGAACTGAATATATGAAGCTCTGGGTTCTATTCCCAGCACTGAACAAAAATAAATAAATAGAAGACAACTTACAAAAAAAAAAGTCTACAGACTGATTGTTAGATTGGGAAGATGCTTAACAGTAAAACAGAAAAGCCATTACAAACCAAATACAGAAAAAGAGACAATACACAAACTAAGAAGTAACAGAAAATCATTAAAAGAGAACATTTTTAAATCCTAAGAGACTATGTTGAACAGTTTTGTATAAATAATGTAAAAATTTAGTTGAATGGATAATTTTGTGGAAAAATGTAATTTACCAAAGTTGATTCCATTCAAGATAGAAAGTCTAAATAGTCCACTGTACAAAGAAGAAATAGAGAAAAATATCAGATTTTTCCCATCAAAAGGTTTCACAGAAATTCTAAAATGATTTTGTTGTTGTTGTTGTTTTAGTGTTTTTGTTTTAACAAGGGATTGAGTCCAAGGGCATTTAAATACTCAGTCACATCCCCAGTCCCTTTTATTTATTTATTTTTTTAATTTTGAGACAGGGTGTCTAACAGCCTCTCCAATGATAAATTCTAGCAACATTTAAGTAAGAGCCAAGTTGCTGAGGCTGAATTTGAACTCACAATCCTCCTGCCTCAGCTTCCTGAGCCACAAGGATTACAGATATGTGCCACCTCTCTGTAGAGATAGAGGGATATTTTACAATGAATCCACCAGGAAAAAAAAAGTTATATATGCATCTAGTAACAGTAATATGCATGCATGTGTACACACATATGGAGATGGTGCTCGAAATTGGATCCAGGAGGGACATGCTAAATATGTGCTCTATCACTGAGCACATATTTGTCCCAGAGCACCAATATGCATGAAGCAAAAAATGACAAAGAAATAGACAATTTAACAGTAAGAGTTGGAGGCTTTATTGCCCCACTTTCAATACCCAGTAGAGCTAGGCAGAAAATCACAAGGAAATAAACTTGAACAGTACAATTAGCTAGCTACCAGACAGGGAACAATGAACAGAGCAACAGAAAATATATTTATCAAGTGCATATGGAAAATTCTATACTACAGCATAAAACAAACCTCAGTGAATATAAAAGGATAAAAAATAAGAAAAGGATGTCTAAGCATAATTAAATTAAAATTAGAAATCAATAACTGAAGGAAAATGGAAAATTCACAAATATGTAGAAATTGAACTGTGCATTCTTAACCAAAAGGATAAAGAAGAAATTACAAATGGAATTAAAACATACTTTGAAGTAAGTGCTTAGAGGAAAATTTATAGCTCTAAGATGCCTGCTTTAAGAAAGAAGAAATCTCTGGCTCAGGAGACTGAGGCAGGAGGATCTAAGTTCAAATCCAGCCTCAGCAACTTTGTGAGGCCCTAAGCAACCTACTGAGACCTTGTCAAAATCAAAAGAGAGCTGGGGATGTGGTTGTTGCGATGGGCAAAGATGCAACTTGTACAGTCGAGGGGAGAAATAATGTCCACATGCTTCTGCCCTTTTCACTCAAAATCAATACAATTTCACTCAATAATTTCTTTTTTTAATATTTATTTTTTAGTTGTAGTTGGACACAGTACCTTTATTTAATTTATTTATATGTGGTGCTGAGGGCCTCACATGTGCTATGTGAGTACTCTACCACTGAACCATAACTCCAGCCCCTCAATAGGTTCTTAATCAAGAAATGACAATCCTTAATTCTGGGCACTGCAATAGACATAATCAATTCAAAGCAAACAATTCTAATTGAACTATAAGCACTGCAAACATATCATGTCAGACTTATCACAGACGTCCCCTCTGCATGTTAAGCTCAAGTGCCAGGTCTAAAGCCTGAGCCTTAGGGTGATAAGTCCACCAGATGCACACTCACTCAGACCACAGTGATCAGGTCAGCAACCGGTGAAGGCTTCTTCCAGAGCAGAGTGGATGGTTGGCTGAGGAGAAGTTGCTGTCACCTGGGTCAAGAGGCTGCTGTAGAGTTTGGGAGTGGTGAGGACAGTGCAGGGGATCGGGCAGATGATGAGAAGGGTTGGGATGTCAGTCCAGTTCCTCATCAGGCTCTCCTGATGCCATCAGTATCAGCTGGCTGAATATCTGTCCTTTTGCTTTATTCTTTATATCAGTTTGGACTTCTGCTCGTCCTTTGGGTCCCTATCAGATTTCTTAGTGACATATGTTAGAGCCCAGACATATGGTTTGGTAGCTTCCACCCTGATTTTACACTTCTGACTCTCATCAGGGTTAAGGCAAATGACATGTTTACACCAAGTGACTTCACTCAGGCTCCTACCAAAGTTGTGGAAAGTGACTTGTTTATACCAAGTGGCTTGTTTATGACTTGTTTACCAGGCTATGCCTGATGACATATTGGAGGGTTCTGTAGGTTTATGCCTGGGAAGGCTGCAGGTTTTTAAAATGGAGTTGCTTAGGCTAAAGCCTAAGGCCATCCTTACAGTGGCTCAGTGGTTAATATCCCAGTACCAAAAGAAAAAAAACAAAAAAGATAGAAGAAATCTGAATAACTTAGCCTTCCACCTAAGACACTGGAAAAGAGAGCAATTTAAATAAATCAGAAGGAGGAAAAAAAAAAATGGAGATCTGAACAGAAATAGATGAAATAAAGAATAGAAAAACAAGAGAAAATAAATAAAATCAAAAAGCTGTTTGATTGAAAAGATCAACATAATTGACAAATCTTTAGCAAGATTGATCAAGGAGAAAAGACAGAAGACTCAAGTTAGTAGAATCTGAAATGAAATGGAGACATTTCTGTAAGATCAGGCGAGTCGGGCAGCGACCAAAAGAGGCAGATTTAAAAAGGCCGCTGAACAGAGGCTTTACTGAGATATCATTTCCAGGCAGAACTCCATCAGACCCACAGAGTGGACAGGAGGAGGGGCTGAGGAGAAACCACGTGGGAGCTCCTCTGGACTGGGATTTTATGGGGCTCACAGCAGGAAGGGAAGGGCTTGGTACAGGAAAGGGGATTTTTAGGGTCCCTTGTCCTGCTGGAGTTGGTCAGGGGAACTGGCTGAACTCCAGGATTGGCCAGGGGGTTCTGCTGATTGACAGGCATTAGTCAGGAGATCCTGCTGATTGACAGGCATTTCCACTGGCACCTGATTGATGTTTCTTTCCTGCTCGGGCTGCTTTGTTCTAAGTCGCTGCCACTGACCTAACAATTTCTACACGTTACATAATTTTAAAGAATTGTTATATAGAATACACACACACACATACACACACACACACACACACACACACACCAATTAATTGGTCAACTGAGATGAAATAAAC